GTATCCATAATGCACCTTAGTTCCTTGCAGTTCGTTGCAGCTGCCGTATGACTATCCGTTAAGTCAGCGATTTTACGATAAGCTGCCTCGAGTTCAACAGTAGCTTCGGTCAACGCTTTTGTCCGAAGGTCAACCTGAAATTGCTGAAGATGCATATACCACCAAATATTCACTCATCTCAAATAACAGAAGTTTTCAGTCTCTAAGCTAAAGTTTTCGATACCCCGTCTCATGAGTTCCGCTTGGTAATTTAATTGTTATATTAACACACACTCTGAATAACGGTACAACGCCGTACCTAGTGATTAGTGAGAACGAGTCCTAGCAAAACTTTACAATTTTACTTAACAATGAATCCTTCAGGGAAGGTACAAGAACATCCAGGGTAACGAAGGTTGTTTTAATGTTCTTCGCCCTTTGAATGTTCGTGCTGTTAGCAGGCGAGCTCGAACGTAGTTGCAGACCCAAACCAAACACAAAAAACAACACGAACCTCAAGACCTCTATCGTAGAGTTGTTGCTCGACCACACTCAGCTGTTTCTTTAGCGAGGCCAGCTTATCATCTTCTGCTTCGCTTTCTTTTGCTTTCTCTTCACATACAAGAATTTGGTCAGTCTTCTAAACCAACACCCTCAAATTGCTTATTTGCGAGAAGACAATATGTGCCGATCAAAATAAAAACCAAAATAGAAACATACCAAATTTTGTTTTTTGAGTATCTTGTTTTCCTCTTCAAGTTCGGCAACTCGAGTCTTTAGGGAAGAAATTTCCTGCTCAAGGTTGTTGATAGTTGCAAATTTCGATGCGAACTGGAATGGGAAAAACCGTTGAATATAAGAAGGACAACATTCAGTATGAGGCTTTCTCTGCAACATTACCGCGATAACAGCATACTCGAATTTGCGCGCTTGTTTTTGACAATGAAATACTGGAACTCCATTTTACTAATTTCCAACAAATTTTACATATGTATTAGCAGAACAAATGAAGGGAATGAAGTTTTAAAATTTTGAAACATTTTCTAAAGTTAGTGTACTCAGACGACAACTGTGATTAAGATGAAGAAGATATTTCGAAAACCACTGCAATTCACTTAATGCACAAGAATTCGGGAGCATTAACCAAATTTCTCCTACTTTCAATGTTTATAAGAAGATTGATGGATCTTTCAATGAACTTTGAAAGTCATTGGAATAGCAATGGCGCCATTGCTTTCTCATGACTGTTATGACTTCAAATCCATCGTTGTTGTAAAGATTATGAAAAAAGCGCGGCACTATTGCACTATTACAACCCCAGTAGGGGTGAGATGGGTCAAAAAATAATTTTCGCTGAAACTTCGCTATGGGGGTTATCGAGGGTCCTGATCACGAATATGATATCCATTTTTGGCGCTGGCGCCAGGTGGCGCCACGACTGATTCCACCAAATTCGCTGTAAACTTCTGTATAGGGGTTATTTGGGGTCCTGATTACGAATATGACATTCGTTTTTGTTGTTGGCGCTATTCGGCGCCTATTTCCTGCTCGTCTGCGCCCTCGCACTAATTAGATCGCAATCAGGACTAAGCCTTTGAATAGTGATTATAGATAACTTTTGCCACACGGTGCATGGTTTACCCACTCCGGGGTTTCACCCCCTCCCCTAAGCTTAGTCTTGGGCGCTATAAGTGAGAAAGCTTAGAAATATGCGTTAAACAGCACGAATGTCAAAAATGAGTGTTCATATTCATGATCAGGCGATCACCCTTATAGTTTAACAGCGTAATTCGTTGAAACAGCGTGCGACAGTGCGCCAATTTGGCGCCGACGCCAAATATGGATGTCACATTCGCAATCAGGACCCTCGATAACCCCCATAGCAGAAGCTCCAGCGAAAATTATTCTTTGAGCAATCCCAGTTCCCACTAGGGTTCTAATAGTGCAATAGTGCCGAGCAAGCGGACGAGCAGGTCAGTGAGTGGACAATAAAGACAGTCGCCTTATTTTTTAATATATGCGATTCGAAGTTTTCGAAATGTGCGATAATTCTTTTCAGTACGCCACTCTGGGAGATGCGTGGTGGTGCAGCAGTACCGATGCGTACCAAGATCTGTATTTCTGAAGGCATTCCCCGCTATATTACTTAAGAGCCCACCCCTCCTGGTTAATGTTGCATAAAGGACCAGGTGCGTTCTGGAAGTTGGTAAACAGTAGTTTGGGAAGCAATGCATAAGTGAATCGTAACACAGGGTACTCTATGGGTATAGGGCTGAGATTTTGCTTGCACTGTTTTCTTAAGGAAGCCAATTGAAAGTCGAAAATTGGCGGGAGAAGAAGGACGATACCTCAGTTCTCTCCCTGTTCATCGAATCAAGAGACATAATTGCTTTTTCAAGCATTTCACGGGTTTCGCTTTGCGATCGAATCACGTTGTCCAGGGTGCTATCCGGATCCATGAGTGATGCTGAACAAAAATAAATCAAAACTAATGGTGCCTACCACATTACTAACAAAAAAAAACAGTAGTCACTCACGAGTATTTAGTAGAGTGGAGTCTGCTATGGATGACTGTGCTGAGTTAACTGTACCAACAAGGATAGCAGTTTCATCTCGGTTATTTTGTGTTTTATTTTGACCGTCCTGCTCGTTTACTTCTCCGTCGAAATTCTCGGCTACAGATTTAAAAGTAGATCTGGAACGAAGAAAAAATTAAATTGCTAATCGTATCCATAATTTGGTCTAGAATGTGGTTGTATTAATGCAACAGGTAAATCCTTGAATGGCTATTTCAGAGTATCCACTGACCCTGAAGTAAGCGATGGAACCTCCGAGTGTGCTGAACACAAAATATGGGCAAGGTTATTCATTGGAATAGTTGACTCGACGTTGATACTGTGCTTGGTAGTCCACTGGGAAACGGTATCATCATTGTTCTCAGCGGCACCATTACCTGAAGAGCAACTACGTGTGAATGTGGGACTTCTCAGCGGGGAAGTTATATGACTGTTGGTGAATTACTGCTGAACGAATATTCACAAAGATCCCACTACGTCGGTTCTGCTTCGGTTACCCTCAAAAATTCTCTTATAAATTCACAAACTGTGCTTACTTTGAATTTGATCACCTGAGATTTCTCGATCCTACTATTCCAAAAGGCTCGAAGTTAAATTTCGCGGACCCGATTACTATTACTTTAATACTATAGTAAATCTTAATATTGATGCTAACCTACCCCGCTATAGTTACCCTGTCAGACCGTGGAAAAATCTAATCACCACTTGAAAGTTGGGCAAAAAAAAACGACGGAGGGAAATTGTGGATATTCAACAGTAGACTTTCATCAAACTTCCCACTATCGTACCTAATGTGTCGCAAGAGATGATCTCGAACTCATCTGTGCACAAACTAATCCTCTTGATCATCTGTGCACAAACTGTCGTCTTGAAAGTTATTTGCTCTCAGCGTTTCCTCACGTTTTTTAGCATCACCAGCGGACAAAGACATCCTAAATTTCGAATACGAGTGAGATGTCTATTCATTTCATGCACGACAAAGGAGAACAATCAGCATCAGGGCATTAAGAGGAGAAATACCATTATTTACTCATTGTCAGCTCCAGAATGAAGCGCTAAGGCGCGACAACTTTGCATGGATTGCAGCAAACGGTGACGATTATGGAAAACCTTTGATGCGAACACAGATCAGGGTGGCACGAGTTGACGATACGGACGGTACCAGTGAATCTATCTCCACCGCGTGATCAGGTAGGCTCCGATAGTAAACAATGGAGTCATAAAGGCAGCCACTCCATATTCGTAACAGAAAATCAAGAGACAAGGTAATAGAAAGCGACTAATGAAACAAAAAAACCACGCACTAACCATGTTTATAGCAATTGCAAGTAAATCGAACCAAATCGCTTCCCTTTTACGCCCACTTCAGAACTTCCCCACCCCCTTTCCCTGCAAAACTGAATTACTGTAAGCCGCACGAACTGTGGCACCGCATGCTTCCCCCTCTCCTTATCGGAACAAACACAAAAATTTGACCAGTCATCCCTAAAGCAGTACTAGGTTCCATGTATCTCCGAACGGTGGGACTGCCCGCTGACGTCAAAATTGCAGCACCTTCATTCCAAGAGCGATATGACTGCTGTCGGGAAAGGGCCTTCATTGTTGATCGTCCTTCAGCGCGCATATGTCACTCTATTTTAGAATTTTCCATCAATAGTGATTAGTTCACCAATAATTCAAATCAAGAAACAGTGTGCTTTTTCTGAGCTGATAAAGGGGATGGACCACTCTAGGAGCTGATGATGGAGGGATAATTTAGGTTCAATGTGGTAATGCAAAGAGGGCTGTCGGGAAGTTGGAGAATTCTTCGAAAGGAGATGGATACGAGCATACATAGTCGGTCGTCCGATCACTTCGATCGTAACGGTCGCACAGTATTAGATACGTATCGATCCTCGAATAATTAGGCAAGTCTTACGATCGATACGCATCCAATGCTGTGCGACCGTTACGATCCGACTATGCATGCGCATAGAAAAATAGGTGGCAGTCTGTCACTGTGGGAATATCATGAGACATTGATCGATAATGAAGTGTTGTAATAATTGCTAGCAAAGAAATGTTCACAATCAATGAAGAGAACGCATTCAATCAATGCATACGAGCACAACACTTGCCATTCCTTGAGAAGCGTCACTGTTACAAGTCGAGGAACAAAAACGTGTAGAGAAGAATGTGAGAGGGGTCTCATCCAGTAAGGGGGGGGCATCAAGTGGCTGCCCTCACCCCCCCCCCCCTAGACTGCCTACACTCCCCCTGGCGCACAGGTTTCTTGAAGTACGAGACCCCGTAAGCCAGGGGGAGTGAAGCCAGTTCAGGGGGGTGGGGGGTGAGGGCAGCTATTAGACGTTGCATCACAATGCCCCCCCCCCTTACTGGATGAGACGTGTAAGACGCCAGTATACTTAACGCTCCCTAATGAGCAAATTATGAAGTAGCGCTATGGAAAGGAACGCTGCCATCAAATGGCCCCGAGAAAATGCCTTGACTCATTGTCAGCATGAAATCATGAACGATGAGTCATGCAACAACTGATTCTCCCCGCCTTTTCTTTCTACTTCAAGTGAATCTGGGATCTGTAATTATCATAGATGAATTTTTATGTATTGTAAATGCACGATTTTCGCAATTCACTACTACTTTTATATGAACTGAGTGACTCACATGATTGGAATTATCTCACGCATATTCAGCACGAGTTGAGATTCTAGTATAAACCAACAGCATCACGAGAATTAGCGATATGCGTTGCACGCAGAAACGATGAGTGTGGCACAAAGAAAAAACTTGCCAGTAGATAATGGAAGATTTACAGAACAGCGATGCTTATATGCGGCTAAGGTAGCAGGTAGTAAATACTCCACTCGCGCTGTTCTGCGTACTCAAGCATACCGGATCCAAGACGAGTCTTCCCAAGCGCTGTGTCCAAGTTGCAGCTGCGGGGCCCTTGGGATGTCTGCTAACTTGATCGACGCTTTTTATTCTACTCATTTGTAGATAGCATTCAATGCATTACTCGCACGTTAACATAAAAACGTTTATGCTTTGCTCTACATAGTATACTGGCCCGTCTGCAACGCGATCAAGGAAATGATCGCTTTCTATTAGCAATGACCCTTCTGCATGTCGAGTCGGTGGAGAGAGGAGTTTTGTTAACGGGTCGTAGCGGTTTCCTTTATTTTTTCATTTTTAGTCGACTCTTTATTCTAAATGAGGGTACGCTGTTGTTTTGGATCGTAGGTGCGAAATGGTGCCAACTCAGTTGCGGGTCTCAATCCTCCTGGCTCACGGATTTCCCGAAGTACGCAAAGGTGCCAGGCGAGCAAAGCGCCACGCCGCCTCGTGGTCACCCCCAACTAAGTTAGCACCGCGAAATGTATGTGAGTGGGGACTGCTCGCTAATGAGGTGTCACGAGAATTGAGGGACTTCCTTAGCCAGGGGAGTGGCCAATCTAGGGGAGTGGGGGCGATGAGCAATCACTTGACATGCATGAAAAGCTCTCGAAGTCTGATTGGGCGTGTCACCGGAAATGACGTGGCGGCCACCGCACTTGATAGATGTCGTGTGGATAAAATACTCCGCCAGATATCAGCAAAGCGTGTTGGAAGCAGCTTATCCGCGCAACTTCTATCAAGTGCGGTGGCTGCCACGTCATTTCCGGTGACATTCAGACTTCGAGATATGGACTGTTTGCGAGGTCATTTACTTCATAGCGCGCGTATCCATTCATAATCCCCACTTACACACATTTCGCGACTACCGTATCACAAAAAAACTCGGCGTGCCCATCCCACTTGTATTGCACCAGATTTTCGAAGTCTTTCTCACTTTCGTGAGGTTGTAGTTGTGCAGTCGGATGATTGCCCAACCTGTGTGGGGTAGATGACTCGCGAATGATGTCGTATTGTGAATAAAGTTTCATTTAATCCCGCCACGCACGCGACACGTGACGCGCGCAGCGGAAGTTTTGTGGGTCATGTCCCGTCACTGAGCTTTTGTCATCGTTTTGTTGACTTTTAGAACCAATAAGATGCACATGTTTAGAAACTCTCGGTGCCTTAATTTGCAGCTTGTATGATGGAATAGACAGAACGGACCTAACCCGTGAATCCCAAAATCCCATTCTGTTCCATTTCCACGCTAGTGCCTTCTTATTCGTACTTCCTAGAATATTGTGTTCGCTTTCCAAGATTAGCTCTATCTTGCCCTTATTTATTGTTCTATGCGCAACTAATTTCTCCTTTGCATTCGTGAAACTATGCTGTAACTTTTTTTATCAACTCAATTTTCGTATCAGCTTCATTCATCCATAGTGACGTTCATTTTAGAGAACCAGGACATGGCAACGGCTGCTCTTCATCAGATTGGGATTTTTGTGAGTGGAATCATTATTTGAGAGGGTGCTCTCTTCTTTCTATCTAAAGAGTTATTTGCAGGACAATCTAGATAGTGTCATTGCTCAAGTTTCTGCGGGTGATCAGCAGCCGAAGGATGGATTAGATTCAGAAAGTGATGATTATCTGAAGTAAGTTAAGGTTCTGCTTTCATTTTTTAGGGCGCGGTCAAATCAGGTCGATCTAGTAGATCCCTGGCGCGAGACTTGTAATAGTTCAAAAACGATCCTGCTTAGAGAGATATGCTCTTTCACGGTCTGCTACTTGGCCCCAACACATAGCCAACCTAGCGACTATATCCTCCCAGAAGGACAGCAACTGTAAGACTTTGAGATTTGGTGGAATTCACAAATTGCTCACATTCCCCCCCCCCCCTGCACCAGGGCTCAATTTCAAGCACAGTAATTGGCCCACTCACTTGGATGTCCCCCCCCAAGCCCCAAGAACATCAGCGCCAACGCTTCTTCAGCTGGATCTTCATCTCGATTTTCTCCTTTCAGGAGGTGCTGGAAGTGGCTCAAGAGCCGGTAGTCGTCCAGAAGGCGTATGTAGCAGTTCCGGGCTGGCGACTTATCCTCGAAGTTGAAGATTCGTCCCGGTCGAAGAGGGGACCCATTTCGAGACGGACCCTGCTGCTACGACCTTAGCGCGAGGATGGGCTTCTAGGGTTTCAGATTGGTCATCTGGCAGTGACCAGAATCGTGGCCGGGAAGGTGATCGACCCCATTAGGACCTCACAGCGCAACTTAGGCTAGTTGAAGAAGTACGCCCGGCTTGTGGATTGCTAGTCCTCATCACCCTTTCACCGCCCTCACCAAATACCGCCTAATCGGAAACCCTCAGCTTTTCTGCAAAAAAAATCTCAAAACTGAGGACAAGGCGGGAGACTCCAGGCAGAT